TTAAGAAAGGAAGAAGAAGAAGAAAAGAAGAAGAAGAAGAAGAAGAAGAAGAAGAAGAAGAAGAAGAAGAAGAAGAAAGAAGAAGAAGAAGAAGAAGAAGAAAAGAAGAAGAAGAAGAAGAAGAAGAAGAAGAAGAAGAAGAAGAAGAAGAAGAAGAAGAAGAAGAAGAAGAAAAAGAAGAAGAAGAAGAAAAGAAAAGAGAAGAGAAGAAAAAGAAAAGAAGAAGAAGAAGAAGAAGAAGAAGAAGAAGAAGAAGAAGAAGAAGAAGAAGAAGAAGAAGAAGAAGAAGAAGAAGAAGAAGAAGAAGAAGAAGAAGAAGAAGAAGAGAAAAGAAAGAGAAGAGAAGAAGAAGGAAAGAAGAAGTGAGAGAGGAAGAAGCAGAGAAGACGAGAAGAGATAAGTAAGAAAGAAGAGAAGAAGAAGAAGAAGAAGAAATAGATAGAAGAAAGAGAAGAGAAGAGAGAGAAGAAGAGAGAAGAAGAAGAAGAAGAAGAAGAAGAAGAAGAAGAAGAAGAAGAAGAAGAAGAAGAAGAAGAAGAAGAAGAAGAAGAAGAAGAAGAAGAAGAAGAAGAAGAAGAAGAAGAAGAAAGAAGAAGAAGAAGAAGAAGAAGAAGAAGAAGAAGAAGAAGAAGAAGAAGAAGAAGAAGAAGAAGAAGAAGAAGAAGAAGAAGAAGAAGAAGAAGAAGAAGAAGAAGAAGAAGAAGAAGAAGAAGAAGAAGAAGAAGAAGAAGAAGAAGAAGAAGAAGATTTCATTAAATGCGATGATCGGTATCGGAACCCGAACTAAAGATAGAAAACCAAGAAGTATCCCCTCCAAAGTTCTTCAGCCAGAAGGATAGGCTTTTCAAAGGGACAGTACGCTAGAAATTGAAGATAAACTTTACCAGGTTCAAGTTTAGGTCACGAGACCTTCGAGAGGAACACACGCCCGTGGTCACATGGTGGTGCGGTAAACGACGAATTTAAAAAGCATCATTTTGCGAATGCGAATGTTGAGAAAGCGGTTGAAAAAAACTAAAGTTTATGTTGCTAGTTGGACTCACCCATGAAGAAAAAAAAAGGAGGAGAAATGTCGGAAAACGCCCTTTACTTTCTTGTTTAAATTTGCGTAATTCTGGCGCGACAAGTTAAGAACTGCCGGAGTAGTTTCCATTACAAGAGAGTCGAGATCAGTACAAAGCGAGCATGACGATGAAGCACCAACGGAGGGTAGGGATGTAGTCAAGCTTCCGAAGCAGGTGACCCATATGTCGCAACTTTGCCCTTGGACACCCCTACCTAACAACTTTCCCTGCAAAGCCGCGTGCAGGTCTTATAGAAATCATCGCCGACGACACTGCCGCTTTTCCACACTAAGACTTGATTCTAATGAATAGACGCGCAACGCGTATTGGAAGGACGTATTTTGTGGTTCCTCGCTGGGAAAAATCTCTCCTTTGCACAGGCAGTGCAGTCGGCTATCAGAGGCTGTGCCGCTTTTGGAGCTCCACAAACAGTAACGAAGACGCTGCAGCCGTCATGAGCCAAACGAACGCCACCTCTGGATGATGCTCACTCACCTGGGCACGAGATATACCAGGGATCCTGCGACCCATAGCCTTTTTCGTCCACCTGCCTTCCTATTCTCTCACGGGACTCATTCAATCCTCGAACCGTACTTACGGCGTCTTCGACGATTTCGCGTATTCTGTTCTACACCAGGAAGTCAATTAAGGGCTACACGATAGGCCTGCCCACCAGCCTAGAGGACGTACTTCTTTCGCAGCTCGAAGATTCATGAGGGGAGCGCGAACTGCTTGGTACGAGGCCAGGCTCCGCCCACTGGCCACCGAGACCCCCAACTTTCATTTCTACACGCATCCTGTGGAGCGGTTGTTCCGCTAGTGGCTCGCTCCACTTCGAATGGGGAGAGTGGGGTGAGATGGGGAAAAGCAGCGTCCCTTCAGCACCCAAAACTTCACAAATAGGCCCCTCAGGCCGCGATCTGTAGTCGCGGGATGCTCTTTTCCCTTCTGGAAGCAAAGCTTCGGAGCGCGTTTTAAATTTTCTGAATGAAAAACTGCACAGAAAGGCAGCCTGCTCAAGAGCTTCTTTGAAAGCAATCGATGGCAAAGGCAAGACAAACGAAAGAATAAAATTCAAGCAACTTACTCAGCACGGCAGTACTGTTCATGGCTCGAACGAGATTCGGCGGTGGAGTCATCGGAGGAACAGGAGCAGCACTTCGACGACACGGCGGTGGTGTTGCGGGCTGCGAAAGGAGAGTGGACAGATGGCTCGGTTCGGTCTGACTCCGTCCCAGACATGCACTGTATGTTGCTGGTGGAGACAGCTGTGGTGGAGAGGGAGAAGTAAGGCAAATTTCCGTGGAAGACGACGTCTCGCAGTGTAAGTCCTCCTGCAATTCAAAGATACATCGAATCAAACTAACAAAGTAGAACTACTACGCGCTATAGACGGCTAATTTGCAGATCTCAAAGCAACGTGGACCACGACAAGGGCTAACACGTTGAAGGGCCGTTATCCCAGTGAGTTATGCTGTTTCAGCGGCAGCAAGAACAAGGCCCTTTCAGAGTCTGAAAGTCAGCAAGAGGGAATAAAGTATGAGAGCAGTTTCTGAGGAAAGAACTGGAAACGTATGCCTCCCAGCTGGTTTGAGACCGGGAAGAGTGGCAGCGGCAGAAAATTTGGACACACAATTACGCGCGATGTTGCGATCGCCATGGGTGCGGACACTTACGATAACTGGGTCGCTGTAGGCTGAAACCAACTATGTATCATTTGAAAATGTCGATTCCGAAGGGATATCCCTAGTAGATGTGATCATTAAACATCAAGAAGAGCAGGCTTTCTGGGAAAAACGTTCAAGAAGGTTTCTCCAATCCACGTTAGACATAGGACTGAAAAGCTCTACAAAAGACCCTTGTTCTACGATTTTGACGGACTAAATGTTCCAAAGTATGGCCCAATCCCATTTATATTTTTTAGCCTTTTTTTTACCCATAGATGAGTTTATACCGAAGTCAGTTAAAAGTAATTTCTATCTCATCGCACTGTTGAAAAGCAACGAGTTGAAACTTTTTTCAAAGTATTCATAAAATCAGCTTCAGCTTGATAACTGCTGCTTAACGCCGCAGTGCGCGCTCCGAAAGATTATCACAAGAATCCTGAGATATTTTCAAAAGGCGGACCCGGTGGGGCTCGAACGCGAATCTCCCGCTTATCGCGCGTTTGCGTTATTCATAACGCTACCGAGGACACTCA